GAGCACAGCATACTTGTTCCTTTCAACAGTACAGCGACTTGATGAAAAAGGGGATAAATTATTCTTCATTTGGAGAACGTAAAACAGGCATCCTAGGACTCAGAGGCCCCATGGCAGGAGAACTATCTGCTATTAATTTCCTCTCAAAGCTTTCATTTTCCATGATGCTTGGGATCATGGCGACTCTACATTGCTGGTTCCTGCCCACACGTCCACCTCCATGGACAAAGACCCGTCAGGAGCCACCTTCAGGCACACAGCTCCGTGATCTTCTCTGTGTCAGAGCTTTGCACATGGTCTGGTTTAGGAGCACCCAAACTGGAGGAACTCGAGCAGCCCCACTGCTGGAGCACAGGGAGCTGATGTACTTCCCTTCACCCCAGTGAAACAGGTCCCCTAGATGTGTAAAGGGCACTGGTAGAGACCCCAGTCGTTTGTGGCCAACTTCCTCGATGCTTTCTGACAAATGTGTCTTTAGCCCGACAGGAAATCCATTCCTAAGACTGAAATAAGCTATTCAGTGGATCCCTTACCCTTACCATCTTCTGGGGGCCACCCAGAAGATAACAGGGATGAGGGAGGTGTGAGTGGCTGGATGATCTGTTCTTACATCCCCCTGGCGAGCCGTGGCATCGCTATCAAGCACTAGTGCGTTATCCTGCACAGCATTTTTGGAAGGAAGGTGACTTCTGGCGGCCAGTTTTCTAAAAGTATGGTAAAATACAGACAACATTAAAATTTACCATGTTACAGCCATTTAAAACTGTATAAGTCGGGCTCGGTGGCTCAGCCTGTCATCCTGCGCCTTTGGGAGGCTGAGGTGAGTGGATGGCCTGAGCCCGCGGGTTCGAGAACTGCCTGGGCAACTTGGCGAGACCTCATCTCTACAATAAATCAAAAAATCAGCCGGGCGTGGTAGCGCGCACTTGTAGTTCCGGCCCCTTGGAAGGCTGAGGCGGAAGGATCGCTGGAGCCCAGCGGGTCGAGGCTGTGGTGGCCGGGAGCGGCCCCTGCACTCCAGTCTGGGTGACAGAGTGAGACTCCAACTCAAAAAAATAAAATAAAATAAATAAAATTGTACAGTTCAGTGCTCTGATATATATTCACACTGTTGTGCAAACCATCACCATCGTTCACCTCCAGAACTTTCTCAGCTTCCCAAATTGAAACTCAAGAATTATTAAATGATAGCTTTCTATTCCCACATCCCCCACGCCTTGGCAGCCACCATTTTATTTTCTGGCTCTATGAATCTGACAACTCTAGGTACCTCACAGAAGTGGGATTCCTTCATATTTGTCTTTTTGTGTCTACCAGATGTCATTCAGCATCATAAAGGTTGACCCATGCCGTAGCATGTGTCAGAATTCCATATCTTTTTTAAGGTTGAAACATGTTCCATTGTTTACACGTACCACATTTTGTTTATCTGTCTGCCGATGGACAGCTGGGTAGCTTCCACCCTTTGGCTATTGTGGATAACGCTGCCATAAACATGGGTGTGTAAGTATCTGTTGAAATCCCTACTTTTGCTTCTTCTGGATATATACCCAGAGGTAAAACTGCTAGATCGCATGGTAATTGCACTTAATTTTTTTTTTTTTTTTTTTGAGTTGGAGTCTCATTCTGTCACCCAGACTGGAGTGCAGTGGCCACTCCCGGCCACCGCAGCCTCGACCTGCCAGGCTCCGGCGATCCTTCCGCCTCAGCCTTCCGAGTAGCTGGAATTACAGGCATGCACTACCATACCCGGCTGATTTTTTGATTTATTGTAGAGATGAGGTCTCACCAAGTTGCCCAGGCGGGTCTCGAACCCGCGGGCTCAGGTCATCCACTCACCTCAGCCTCCCAAAGGCGTGGGATGACAGGCTGAGCCACTGAGCCCGGCTTGCGCTTAATTTTTTTGAGGAATCACCATACTGTTTGGTATCTGGGGTTTTAAGTTTACAGCAAAATTGAGCAGAAAGTACAACTGTTTCCCACGTGCCTCCTGTCCCCACACAGGCACTGTACTCACCCTGGGTACTCGGTGACTGAGCGCTCTGCCCACAGGCCCAGGGATTGATCCAAACAGGCCCTGCCAGGTCCGCCAGGAGCCTGAAACCCTGATTCACCTAAGGGGTCAAAGTAGCCTTCTTTCTTTTTTTTTTTTTTTTTTTTTGAGTTGGAGTCTCACTCCATCGCCCAGACTGGAATGCAGTGGCCGCTCCCAGCCACCGCAGCCTTGACCCGCTGGGCTCTGGCGATCCTTCCGCCTTAGCCTTCCACCTCAGCCTTCCACGTAGCGGGACTACAGGCCCGTGCCATCACGCCTGGCTAATTTTTTTGATTTTATTGTAGAGACGAGGACTCTCCAAGTTGCCCAGGCTGGTCTCGAGCCCACGGGATCAGGCAATCCACTCGCTTCAGCTTTCCAAAGTGCTGGGATTACAGGCTGAGACACCGTGCCATCCTCAATGATTATTTAAAAGCCTACTTCATGATCTCAAATGCTTATACTCCAAGGTCATACCCTCAGGAGTAACTAACAATCATGTCTCTACATTTTCCCCTTGATTTTGTCAAGTGGCCTTTTTTTTTTGAGTTGGAGTCTCACTCTGTTGCCCAGACTGGAGTGCAGTGGCCGCTCCCGGCCACCGCAGCCTCGGCCTGTTGGGCTCCGGCGATCCTTCTGCTTCAGCCTTCCAAGTAGCTGGAACTACCACCCCCGGCTGATTTTTTGATTTATTGTAGAGATGAGGTCTCGCCAAGTTGACCAGACGAGTCTCGAACCCGCGGGCTCAGGCAACCCACTCATCTCAGCCTCCCAAAGCACTGGGATTACAGGCTGAGTCACCGAGCCTGGCTGCCTTCTTTCTTTCTGCAGTAGATATGACACCGAAGCTGTAGATATGACACCGAAAGCAAAGGTCAGCCCAGAGAAAAACCTGATGTGCAAACATGGAGATTCCTAGAAGGCTAAAGCAGGAGGGGGTGTAAAAGAACATTCTATTTGACCCCCTCCTTTTGCTTTGTGGCGAGGATGTCTCATAAACCGATGACCTTCCTTCCAGGAATGCTGTGAAGAATAACCGGTACTTGACAGAGGTGATACCGTTTGTGAGGGTGGAGTAATAATGGAGAACTGTGTCATTCCTGGCTCTGTCAGTTCTAATACTGGCCCTGTTACTCTCTGGGCAGCCCCAGCAGACAGCTCTGGGCTAATTCCCTCACAGGTTCCCTTGATCACCTATTGCTTTTGGTCTTATTTTTCTGATTCTGTGGGTTTCATTTTAAATTCTTGCATTTACATCTGTCTCCAGAACTTTTGACTCTATTAATGTCTAAGCAACAGATAGGTTCTTTCATTATGTGTTTGCTTGGCGATTGCTTTATTAACAGTGATTATTCTCAATCCCAGTGAATTACAATAAAAGAACTGTAAATCCTAAGTGCTACTTTGAATGATAACATTTACAACATCCAAGCAAAATGTTATAAATTGCAGTGCGTATCCACAGATTTAAAATGCCCAGAAAGCTCTCAAATGTTTCCTGGACAGCATCACTCATACTATTTTTAAACTCACATCGACTCAATGAAACAAAGGAAAACAACGTTATGTAAAATTCATACAATGAAAGCTCAGAAATATACCACATGCATACATATTCACAGGCACATACATATATTTGTATGGATGCTTACATGTATCCAAGTGGGCATTTGTTTAGTTACACTCTTCTACTTTTGTCTATCAATGTGGAATACATCGCTCTTGTCCACAGCAGACAGGCGACTGGCTGGCTCGAAAGCTAACACAACAACATGATCCTCAAAATATGTCAATCCCAAGAACTTAAATCCCTGCAAAAACTTGGACTTGCTGACTTGGATCACTCACTAGAGGCACGCCTCCCTTCCCACATGCGTTTTGTAAATCAAGTCACATTTAGTGTACCAGGGGAGGGATACATACTGCGATGACTCACTTTGAAAGGGAACGATATAGTTCCCAACCCGGGGGGGAGAAAACATTTCCCTTTTTAGTGTATCTAAAAACATGATGAGTGCACCTGCAAACGGACTGCAGTCATTGTTTTAGCCTAAAAACGGCACTATTAGTCACACCTGTTGAAAACCAAGGGCAAAGAATGACTGGCACTGACAACCCAGAGAAAAGCTGGCCCAGAATAATGGCATCCACTTGGCTGGACTTTCAAATGCAAAAGTGCTAAGTGGACCTTAAAATTCTCTTTTCTGAGATGTGAATCGATGGATCAAGCAAAGCACTAAATATTTTCATTTAATGAGATTGAATAGTGAAGTATATACCGTTTTTAGCCTTTACCATTCATCCTTTCAATCACATGAATTAAAGCAGTGATTATCAAAGTGGGGTCCCTGGACCACCTGCATCCACGTCACTTGGAAACTTGTTAGAAGAGCAAATTCCTGGCCTGCACCAGATCTACTGAATCAGAAATCTAGGCACGAGGCCCAGCCATCTGCACCCTGACAAGCCCTCCAGGTGATCCTGATACAAACTAAAGGTTAAGAACCGCTGAGCTGGCCTGGGCACGGTGACTCACGCCTATAATCCCAGCACTTTGGGATGCTGAGGTGAGAGGACTGTCTGAGCCCACGGGTTTATGACCAGCCTGGGAAACTTGGTGAGATCTCAACTCTACAATAAATCAAAAAATTAGCCGGGCATGGTGGTGTATGCCTGTAGATTGCCTGAGCCCAGCAGGTCGAGGCTGTGGTGGCCGTGAGCGTGCCACTGCACTTCAGCCTGGGCGACAGAGGGAGACTCCAACTCAAACAACAAAACCAAACCAAACCACTGACTTAAGGAACCACCAATATGGAGATTCCAACCCTTGCTCCTTTCCTCAACTGTCACTCTCAAGAGACTTTGTTAAAAGGCATCCATATGCACTTGGGCTATGTGTTACTATCACCTGAGAAAACATTTATGACTGTTTAGTGAAGGAAAAGAAACCTTAGTCAAGACTTACATATAATTTTTCCAGGTCCTGTGCTGGCCTTGAGTCTTAGGATGCAGGGAACTGGGCAAAGGGAGAGACGAGAAGGCCACAGCAATCCATTCAGTCATGGACCCCAAAGCTTTGTGGGGCAACCTCGTGACGGGTCAGTGAGCGTCCACCTGATTGGGCAGGAAAAGTTGTCCATTAGCAGAGTGAATTGTGTGTGTGAATCTTTCCCCACCTCCTACTGTCTTGCTACACCCTGGTTCTGTTTGTCTCGACCTCTATGCTGACTTACTGTGTGGGCCTCTCACCCAACTCCCAAAACCAGAATGTGACACAACAGACCATGGTATCAATGCCTGGGACCTCCTCAGACTGAAGCCCTCTTCCTGAGGTAGGACCTTTAGGTAAGCATCTCCCCCCAGGGGGCTTTCCTGAACCCCAAAGCAGCTTGGAGACAGGTCCATCTCTGATCAGTTATCTCCTTCTCTGTTTCATCTCAGGAATGTTTTCTGGCAACAAATCAGAACACCTCAGTCTAAAAGACACACGTGACTGAAGAGGTTCAGGAAGCAAATGATTAACTTGAGAATTCTGAAATGAGCCTCTGATGCCTCAAATGTGTTTATTTTTAAAATTAATATTTATTTTCTGATGATAAATTAATACATGTTTATTGTAGAACATTTGGAAAATATAGAAAAGCGTAGGGAAAAAATAAAGATCAACAGTAACCTTGACACTGATAAATCACTGATGATATTTTGTTATATGGGTCTATAGCCCCTTCACTGAAACTCCTGGGCCAAGACGCGTTACAGAATTTTTAGGTTTTAGAGGGTACTAAGATGCAACTAACCATCACTACATCCAGGAGGGACCCCCCCAAAACCGGAATTATCTTTTGGAGTGCAGGTTCCTTGTAGTACAGATTTCTCCCACTAGGTAAGTGTTCTAGGAACGCATTGGCATCAGTGTACCAGCTAGTGTGGCTGCAAAAGGCTTTGTTTGGCTTCAGTTAATCTTTTTTGGAGACTTTTTTTTTTTTTTGAGTTGGAGTCTCACTCTGTCGCCCAGACTGG